AACTACTAGGAGTTAATGTCAGAGAGATGTGCCGACAGTTCAAAGGAGTTGATCTACCTTTTTTCTTCGCGCTCTGTACTCGTAATACCTTGAGCAAAGATCTCGACAACTACATGTTTCCCCGTTGTGTTTAGTCTTAAATCTCCATGTTTGTGTTTCCTGTTGTGTGTCTTAGGCGTAAATTCTTTCGTTCCTGTGTTTTTTGCCCCGTCGGGCTGAAAGTTTTCACAAAACAGTGTGTGTACTCCGTTCCAACAAAGTTTCCAATGCCGCTGGCTGCCCAGCCTCGAGGTCGCGACGACGTCATCGCCGACCGTACAACCAAGAAATGGGCGTCGAGTGTTTCGCACCGACGCCGACAAAGCTGCGACCCAAATATTCCCCGGCGGCGCACCAATTGCCCCTCGCGCGGGGGACGACGGGTTCGCCTTCATTTGGCAACCACAGCAAAAAGCACAGTTGTGTTTCCTCTACTGTGCACAAATTCATGAGATTCATATCTCGGTAAATTGACGAAACCTCGTGACGAGGCTGTCATCGCTCTTTTCAACGTATGTCACGCATACGAACAAACTGTTGCCCGACAAGTTCCAGTCCGTTACTTATGAGATCAACGTCCTCGGACAGTTTGATTATTTTCGGCTTAAAGAACTCGGAATTCGTGTCGCACGCTTGAATGTAATCCGACAGCACGAAGTGATCTTCGATAAGTACCGGGGGTTGATTTTGATTTTGTGGCTGTCGATTCCGGGACCGTGGTACTTGATCGGCTGGTTCCATCAAATTCGAATGCTTCTTACGTTGATGTTGTAATAATTTTGCCTGTGGAAACGAATCGACTGTTTTTCTCTGAAATTTTTTAAATATTTCGAGCTACCTGTAAAATTATATGAATCGGTACGTACCTTACTGGCATATTGTTTGTGACACCACTGGCAACCCTGGGGCGTAGTTGTGATACTACCAACAGTTTGACTGAACGTTGGATTAGGCAAATCGGAGTAGTCGGACTCCTTTTGTCTGTTGCTTGGCGGTAAAGCAGCTCCCGGGTGATTTTTCATAATATGCGCTTTACGTTTACTGCTGCTTTTGTAAACCTTTAAAGTATAATGATTTTAATTGAATGTAGATCGACTCACGCTATCAATCGCTATCGCTAGATTGTATCGAACCTTGTCGCAGTATTGACAGTAATAGTCTCTAGTTTGGCGTAAAATTGGTAAGTTCAGTTCTGGAACAGATTCGGGAGCAACATCAGGATGACGTTTTGCTAAATGATTGACGAGCATTCCCCTTCGTTTAAAGCCCACCAGGCATTGATGACATTTGTAAATGAAGCGATTGTAGTCATTAGGATTGACCTGTTCGCATAACAGTGAAACACATTACCGAACGTTTCGTTGAACACTCCGCATAAGGATAACGCGAAAATACCTTTGGAACAAATTTTTTTGTTTGTGTAACCTGCGACATTTGTTCCTCGGTAGCCGTTTGCGAATTATGTAACTTCGTCATGTGCTCCTTCAGCTTATCTTTCCTCTTAAATTGTTTGCCACAATTAGCACAATGAAATTCTCTGTAATAAGAATGTTATATAATATGTATAATAATTATCTCTGTGATGTACGGATTTCGAAATACCTATGATCAGAATGTTTTAGAAGATGCATCTGCAATTTGTCAACCGTAGCGAAGCGTTTCGCGCAAACTTGACACTTGTGTTTCCTTTCGCAATGATGCGCTCTAATATGTTTACGTATAACGGAATATTTCATAAATATTCTTTGGCAGTAGGGACAGCAAAAGGTACCATCTTCTTTTTTATGAGTTTCAATGTGATCTTTCAGTGTGATACTCTGGCTAAATAGTTGCCGGCACATCGGACACTCAAACACTTGTTTATTCTCTGGAAATAAATAAAACGGATACACATGAAAGTTTCGAGTTGTTTCCCTTGCACCATGATTTATCTGATAGAAACAGGATTTACCTCGGTGTGTTTTTAAGTGACAAGACAACGCTGAATTGTTCATGAATCGTTTGAAGCAAATGTTGCATGGCAGTGGTTTTTGGTCTTCAGCACCATGCACCAAACAGTGCTGTTGTAACCGTACTTTCGTGGCAAAACGTTTGTAGCACATTGAACACTTATACGTAGATAAAGGGGTCATTCTCTTTGTTTTCGTTAAAGATAATCTTCCGTGTTGGGAGACGTGATTAACTAACTCCTTTTGCTTCTGGAATCGCAGCCCACACTGTGGACAAGCGGTGTTCTGAATCTTCGTTTTAACTTTATCAGCACCGTGAGTGAGGGTATGCAAATTAAGCAATATTGCTTTTCGAAAAATTAAACCACAAACTGAACATTTCCATTCCTTTGAATTATTCTGCCTTGAATTCTCTTTCTCTTTCAAATTTCTCCCGTGAAATACTTTCACGCGACGAGAATGATTATCGTCTAAGCGAGGCCGAGATGACAGCTGATTCTTAGGCTCTAGAATTAGAAATTACATTGTACAAGATGTTTGACAATATTCTAATCGATCGTTATATACCTTTATCATCTTTAGTTTCTTGCACAGGCTTCAGCGCTGTCAAATTCCTACGAATCGCGTAATCAGTACTTGGACCAGCCTTCAGTTCCTCCTTTGGTAAGATGTGCCTGGTTGTTAAGAACACTATTCCATCGCGTTGTTGGCAAATTACTAGATTCTGTTCTTTATACGCCAATGCGGGCCTTACGAAGCGCATCCAATTTGAAGCATCTGTAAAGTCAATTACATGTTTTAGGAAGTGCAACTTCCGGTAATTTGAAGATCATCGTGTAAACTATAGATACACACTTTCATTCGAAACATCTACTTTCAGTAATTCCTCGTTTTCGGTTTCATAGAGTAACGGTAATTCGTTTTTAAATGGAGTACCATCGTATGGGTACAAGATGCCTTCAATCGGACCAAATTGAGTACGTTTTTGTATGTAACGTTTTGCAAAAACTCCATATTCTGATCCGTTCGATTCAATTTCGGAACTGGACAACTTATTTATGGAGAGATATGATCCTGGCAGTGTTGCTATAGCTCGTGATGGCACAGGCTGATCTGCTATCGTACACACGTTATGCGATGTACAATTGTCTCCAGTACAGACATCGTCGCCTTCATCGCAACCTACGAAAATATATGAACTTTTAGCTCTGCGTTAACAAAATCATGAAAATACAGATAGAATTACATACAAGAACTTTTCTTATCGTTTATACGACGCTTGGAGCGTCTAACATTCTGCTTTTCACTATCCTTCTTTTCTTCCGTATCTATCAAAACTTCATTAATATCTTGATCTTTTGGTTTGACCAAAGGATCCACTTTATTCTCCTTATTCGAATTTTCTGCAGCTGATGATAAAGTAGAATCATCCACATCAAGATTTTGAGCTTTAAACGAATTCATGACATTCATTTGGTCATCTTGCATAACAAGAAAATCTCTACTCAACGTAAAATCTGTACTAGGCATTCCTGTCAGCATCAATGGTGCTGCTGGTGATTCCAATCCAGAATTGGTCTCTGCAGACACATTTTGCGTTTGTAATATAAATTAGAGGGTATATCTTACAAATACTATTTACAGAAATTTACCTTGCATCAAAATTAATTCACTACCAACACTAGAGACCAACTGCTCTTCATTTTCATTGGCAACAAAGTCGGGTGTATTGTCTGTTTGTTGTACACTCTGTGCATCAATTGGATGGGTCATTTGAGAAACATAGTTAACATTTGTTCTCTCGTTCGACTCGGGTGGGGATATTAAAGGGGAGGATGGACCTTGTAGAACAACAACAGAATTATGAAAAGGAGATGGTGGAAGTTGTACAGGAGTTGGTGAATACCTAGCTGCTGAACTCATATTCGGGTCAAGAGGACTGACACGGTGCTCGAAATCAGAAAGCGGGGAAGTTGCTCTGGGAGAAAAAGAGACTTGCTCGTATGTTGGAAATAGACGAGGATATTCCCGAGACTGATCCTCCACATACTCCACCTAATAAAAACATAAGTTAGATCGATGTTTGCTGGACAAATGATTTCTCAACAGATGACAGTATGTAAACACTTACAGTCAGAAACAACAGCTTGTTACTCATTTTTTTGGGTTGCTCGCACACAGCTGAATGGAGCGAATGATCAGCAGACCAATTTACTGAAGTGTCAGACACTTTGTCAATGTTTGGAATTTCAAAGGAATTAACAGGGGCCCCCTCAGGAGGGCCCCTTGGATCCATTTTAATTCTCGTCTTGCTCCAAGAATACCACAACACCCGTTACCTGCTAAAATCGCTCTTTGAAATCGCAGCTAGTCTCGCTATTACAGAACGAATGGAGGCAAAGAAATCGGAGTTTTTTAACCACAACGATCGCATTCGTGCGACTTCGAGACAGCTCTGATACGGCACGATAACACTCCCGATAATTTCGACAATAGGCTCACGACAGTTTAATCTTTGCCCTATAAAGAGGAAAACTTACCATCCTCAATGCATAAGTTTTCGAAGTCGACGCACTTTTTGTCCTGTGATGCACCTGCTGCAACTGGCTCGTCAACAATTGACGTTATCAGTTTCATAACGCTGACTGAGCACCACTGCAATGGCGGGAAACTTTCGAATCGACCAGTCAAATTGGCGGCGGATTTCTAGGTAAATCGATCCACCAAATGATTACAACGATTATCGATTAATCTCAATTTTATTTGAAATCCCGAATATCTATTACCATCCAGTGGACAATTTCGCGTTACAATTTCCTTGCGTCCTATTAAAATATTCATCGATTTATACGCTCGTTTATCAATAATATACAATTATGCTTAATTTACTTTTACTGCATTTTATTACACTAGCCCCGGTGATACGCGTTTAATCAAGCCAACTATTGTAAAAATCATTGAATATATTGCATACAGAAAACCTTCAGGCTGCCGGATATATACAACAGTCATTACTGCGATTCAACCATAAATAATCTCAATTGAGAAATTTCTACTACAAACGATACTTTAATACATATACAGGAGCTGTAACGCTAAAACATACGGCGTACATATTTTTCAGGACGAAACAAGTCGATAGCGTCCTGCCACCCCCATACCGCTTGCTTCCACCCCCTGATTTATGAATGGGGTCGGGAAGGCACAGCTGCGTGTACAGCCAGTATCTTTCATAACTTTCCTTAACAACGAAACAACAACGTGTCAACAAGAGACCTGTACAACGCTCCCGACGAACGGAACAGCGATTCCGCCGAAAATACGAAATCCACGATGATACGCGCGGAGCTGACCGATCTGTTGGACCGGATGATGAAGACAGATATTTTCCACCCCTCGGAGAAGCTTCGAATGATACGGGACGAGGAGAAGAGCTTCCTCGATCCGAATTTGATCATGGACGCGAGGCACCGGATACTTCGCGAGGATTTGTCCGTCTCGCCGACGAAATGCTCCGTCTTGGCGGAGGCAAAGAGGTACGACGCTGTCTCGATCGAGGGGAAAGAGCGTTTTTCTTGAAAGGAATTTCCGGTTCGTAGATTGTTCACGGAGGAGGAGGACGCGAAGTCGTATATGAAGAAGCAGCAGCGATTCCTGGAGAGGGAGCTGAAGAGATTCGAAATGGAGGTGCTGAGGAGTCGGCCGAAGTTCTCGAGACCCTACACGTGCAAGAGGAGGACCTTCGCGCCGTCGGACGACGAGGAATTTTGGAGTGCCTGCAGGAGAGCCAAACGTAAGGTTGGTCTCCGTCTCGCGCGACCGATGGACGACTGAGTTATTTTCATTGAGAGTCTATGAAAAACATTGCAGATATCCGAGGACACAGAAAGGAGCAGCCAGGACAGACTGGCGGACGCTCCTTGGAAAAAGAGTATGCTGCCGAAGGCTGACTCCGCGTTGAATGACGAGAAGGTAGAAAATTCGGAGCCACCCTTGGGAAGCATCAAGGTGACAATCACGGACAAGCCTAACTCGGAAGCGGAACTGCAGCGATTGGACGTTCTGAGGAAATGCTTCGACGCTCTGAGAAGTAACGCCGAAGAGGAGCGCCGGCTGAGGGACATCAAGACGAAGATCCAGCAGAGCGTGACCTCGAGGATCACGAGGAAGTACTTCGACATCTGGAGGACGCGTCTGAGGAACGAGACCAACGACGCGCAGGAAGAAAAGGAGGATCCGAGGGTCTCCGAGGAGCGGAAGATCGAGTTGTTCATCAACGCGATCACGGAGCATCAGAAGGAGCTGATGAGGACCAAGAAACCGAGGGGCAAGGACGACGGTCCAGCCGCCAGAGAATTCGACACGGTGACGAGGAGGAGAAGCACTGTTTTCAAAGCTGTCGCCGCGGAATCGCCGGCGCAGAGCCGTCTGAGCGCGCAGAAGAAGATCATAGAGAGCCAGAGAGCGAAGCTGGCGGAGCAGAACAAGATCATCGAGGAGCTGAAGCTGAGAGAGACGCAGAAGGAGATCTACAGGTCGAGCAAAGAGACGGTGCACGTGGTGAAAGAGACGCTGACCCATTGCGGGAAGATGACGAGGAGGACGCTGATTCAGTTGATGCAACAGGCTGGTTACAGGTAATCGAGAATTTAGCTACTGCGGAAGCGATTCGAAGTGAAATGGGGATGTCATTGCATTTCCAACTGTTCGCTTTGCTGTATTCTTTGATGCGCTATGAGTGCATAGAAATGGTCTAACAGTTCCGTTTTTGAACAACAAAGGGACGAAAGCTTAACGGTGCCCCACCAAGCGCCGGGTGCTCCGAAATTTTTATTGAGAATGGAGGCGCGAGCAGAGGCGAGGCGGGAGAGGGTGAAACTGGCGGAAGAGTCGCGCAGGAGGAAACTGGAGGAGCAGAAGATGAGAGAAGAGGCTGCTAGGCTAGAGGAGGAGCAGAAGAAGAGGAGATTGCAACAAGAGGTCAGATAAAATAAGGGGTCAGAGTATATTAACGCCGTACTAAGTGTCACAAGTTTAATTTCACCTCGCAGACGCTCTTATCTCGTTCGTGGCTGCGCTTTTTATGCGATCGGTCGCGATGGGACGTTGCTTCTTACGCGTTTGTTAACAGGCCGCGGCGGAGGCTAGGAGGCTTCGACGGGAACAGGAGCAGAATCGTCTGCGCGAAATAGAGCGGCATAACAGGCTGAACAATATCGCCGACCAGTTCTACCGGCGGTACCTGTTGAGGCGTTATTTAATCGAGCCGTTGATCGCGCTCGTCGAACGGAAGAAAAGTAACGTGAGGAAAGCGGACGATCATTACAGGGAGACTCTAACGAGGAAGATATTCGTCGCCTGGAGAAGAGAAACCGAAGCGGAATTGCTAGCGAGGATCACGATCGCAGAGTCTGTTTACAATAAACGTTTGACGATAAGTGCGTTCGGGGAATGGAGGCGGATGGTGAAAGAGGAGAACCTGAAATATCAAGTTGCCACCGACTTCTGCGAGATAAAGCTGCTGGATAGGTACTTTGCGCTATGGCGAACGGTAACCTTAGAACTGAAAGCGGAACGCGAAAGAAACGAGGAGCTGGCTGGCAGACACTATGTAAATCAACTGAAGCGGAGGTACCTCTTTACGTGGAGGAGGTACCTCGCGATTGCCGCGGATATTACAGAAAGCGAGAAAAGAAGAAACGAATTGAGGCAACTGGTGCAGACAGTGATTCCCGACTTTAATCCCAAACAACGGGGCGTTGCGCTTGAAGATTGAAGTTAGTTTCTAGAGATCACGAATAAGAAAACTGTACAGTGTAGACGACGAAAGTTATGTAACACAAAAGCTATTATTGATTTTATATTATTTTCTTCCATAAAAAAGATGTGAACATCAGTAATGCTTAGACCTTAGATGTACTATACACAATTGATTAATATAATTTATTGCGATGATCGTACAATGGCCACTTTATCACAGTTACAATAAGTATATAAATAATGTGCGCAATAATGAAATGAAAGTAACCAGCACAGTAACTGAGAGCAACCCTTTTGCATTACGATATGTTACTTCGGAGTTCGATATTACTAGCGATAGCTTATGTACGAGTTGGTTTGCTACTATAAAAAAAAGAGAAAAAAAATCGGTCAAGAATGGGGAAAAAAAAATTAAAGAATATAAATAGAGAAAAGTGTGCTTGAACTAATATTGAAGTGAATATTATAATTCACGTACCGCCTGATGTTCTGGCCTCATTGTTTCAGATTTTTAAATATCCTCTGCGCAATGCAAAGTATCACCATCCATACAAATTAAATTTAATAATCTAGTCTACATTTAGTATCTAAGTTTTGCAGCAAAATAATCGGGATACGATTTTTAATATCCCCTGATCGTATTGGCTTCCAGCTTCGAGGAGGCGTCGTTCGTTCGATGTTGTACCAAGGTATATTAACCAAAGATGATATATTAAATAGAAAAGAACCACCATACCAACCAGTAGGCTGTAGAGTGCCGAGATGAAGCAGAGGGCAATGCTGGAACAATATGTACATTATTATATATCGATTGGGTACTTGAAGCAAACAGTTGCGCGACACGTTATCTATTCAACTTTTATATTGTCAGAAAGCAAATAAGAGATATTACAATATTTACGACGTTAACACAAGTCTCGACAATTATCACTATCTTCTGATTATTGAAGTTTGTATTGTAGATCCTCTGTATCTTTCCAGTTTAATTTTGAGAATCTCAATAATGAGAAGTATTGTGCTCCCCCAAGAACAATCTTACATCCGATATAATTAATTTCAGCAGTTTGATGCTGTCTATAACTACTA